TCTATATATTTCTCACCACAAAAAAACAAAAAACCACATCATAGTTTCCATTTATGCCACCCAAATCTGACCAGAGAACATCTTGGAAGAATGTGCATGACTTTATTATTCAGAATCACCTATCCTTGATGACAAACACATTCTCTGCAAATCTGCTAAGCCATGTTGATTAAAGCCAAAGGGTAATATATATTTAATATCATAAGTGATTAAAAGGAACAAATGAGGCATAAATATTCTTGACAGTAAATAAATAAAGCATGAAATACTTTTGAAATCCAAGGTTTGTGAATAACCATTTTCATTAAAGAAACTGGAATATTTACACTTCATTATAACAGACAGTTCCTAGAGCTTTTGCTTTGTTGTGTTTCTTGATTTCTTCATGGAGAGCAAAAACATATAATTTTTATATTTGAAAAAAGTCAATAAATACATTAATAGTGATTACAGTTCAACAATATTTGTACAATCATGTAATTTCAGTATTGTTGGATGGAGTTATACATTGCCAATTTAAAGTAAAAAAAAAAAAGGTTTAATAATGTAATATATTTTGTTCAGTGCAAATAAAGGAAAAAATACACTGGAAAAAAGGGAAAAACAAAGAAATGTTTTTCTTCTTCAACTTTTGATGGTGTTGCAGGTTTTAAATATTAGTTGGCAGGAAATAAAATTTCCAACAATCATATGCTAGTCACTTCACGATTGAACTACTGCAGTGTGTTCTATGTGGGGCTGCCCTTGAAAACCACTCTGAAATCACAGCTAGTCCAAGAATACTCTGGCCCAGGCAGTGATATAACTATTACTTTGTGAGCCACAGTCATTGCTAGTTGGCTAGTTGCAGTTCACAGTGCTGTTTCTAATCTATAAAGGCTTTCATGGCATAGGCCCTGATTACTTAAGGGACCACTTATGTCAGTAGTTTCTGCCATGCAATCAGATCAGGCAGTGAGTAAGTTCAAAGTTCCATCAATTAAATTATGCCAGGTTCGAGAAGGATTCCTCTTTTGTAGTACCTGGAATCAGATCCCCCACAGAGATCCATGTCACTCCCACCCTGATGATGTCTTTAAAATTTTGGTTTTGCTTCCAGAGACAATAATTTGCAGTAAGATGTTGCTGAGCTGCTTTGGCCTGCTTTTTTCGTTCCTTTTGGACTTTCATGATTTTGCTCTTTCATTTTGCTGTTCTTATTTTTAAAATGTAAACCAGGAAGCTTGTAAATTTAATAAACAAACTGTCCATATCCAAGTTAGTTGGAATTCCTTTTCCATAAATAATGAGTGATATCAACTCATCCAAGAGTTCACATAGTATGCTTTCTCCCTAGAATGCTCAGATTAGATACCAGATCCCAAAATCTGGGATCCATTATTCTCATGTAATTGAAATTTTAAGGATCATCATACCAGTTACTGTATATTCATGAAGTTGTGGCTGCAGCAGTGTCACTACAGTTAGCCATGGTCACATAATCATGATTTCCAACTACACTTCCCAGAAATTCTCTGGCTCTTGCATCCGGTTGACAGGCAGCAAGACCTGAAGGGCAACACAAAATTGGCTGCTTTGGAACCAAGTCTGACATTTGAAATCCTTGAAGGAAAGATGAGGGAGTGGCTTGGAAAACTTGCTGGTGAGGTTTGGTTGGCTAGGGTGTACTGGTGATTGACAGGTGCTGATAGACTAACTCAATGCAGGGTTGTCACAAATCTTCAATTTGTAAAAAAAAAATGTAATATCCGTGAAGCACAATAAAGCAAAGAACAATAAAATGAGGTATGCCTATAGTCCTGTAGTCAGTAGTTTTTACTTAAGGTAAATATGCATAGTTAATTATAGGGGAGAATGCATCTGTTTAGCTTGGTTTTATTTTGTTTTTCATTTAGTTTGGATGTGAGAAATGTGAATTCATTGAGCTGGGCTTTCAATATAAGGAAATGCAGACATATTCTGTCTTGAGTACCATTGAGTTCAGGTGAATATGCTTAGGACTTCATGTCCTATTCAGTCACTGTACAGTCTCTTGTGGTCCATGTGTACAAACAGAATGTCCACTATGGAGAATCTCTATGTGGGAGTGTTCCACCAACTGTAGAAACTGATATTCAAGAAAGCCTTGGTGGGTAGAAGAGGTTCTCGGTGGCAGAGATAAAACCTCTACATGAGGGGAGAAGGGTTCATCCATTTTCAGGTAAATATATACTGTCTGTAAATGCTCAACTTTAAAAAATAAATACTGTAAATCTAAGTTACATATGTGACAGGATAAGGGATCTGAGAAACCAAAGAAGAATTAGACTAGGAAGCAACTTTAAATACATTCTCTAAGTCTGATCATAGGAACCCCAATCTAGTACTTATTTTTAACTAGTTTATTTATTTTATTCATTTAGCATGTTTATTACTGCTTCCTATGCAGTTATCTCTGAAAGAGTTCACAAAATATAAAATACAAGGCTTAAACAATATATTACTAACAGTATATTTAGACATAATTTTGACTTGGATGGTTCTTATGGTCTTTTATGAATTCCAATCTGACCCTTGAGTCTAATCTATCAACTTTTTTATAGGACCTTTTTTAGAAATTATTTGATATAGGTGTAATAACGGTTCTTATGATGCATGTTGGTCCTACATTCAAGATCAGGATAGTATCTCTACTTTCGGTCGACCCACTGAAACCCGGTCAGTGAGTGAGAGTCGGGTGCTCACCTCAGAGATTTGCTTGGGGAAAATAGAAGGAGGAAAGAGTACTGGTATTTTTACTATTTTAAGTAGAATATGAAAAAAATGGGATAAAAATCTTTTTTAAAAGTTGAAATTGAGTTTAATTCAAAGGAGACTTACATAACAACAACAACAGTAATGGTGGTATAGTGTGGGTAAAAGCATACACACTGACTCTACATAGAAATATAAAGAATAGTTCCAGTGGTACTGACGTTACCAGCACACTCTTGTCCCTGCTCACTTTGCAACATATGCTCCATTAATAATGTGTAACTTTCTAGATACATTCTTCACTTCTGAAGAACTCAGTGGTGAATGAAATCAAAGAATATAACCACAAAAGAATATAACCGTCAAAGGAAACTGTGCCAAAAAAGTATTTCATCATTAAGAAGTTATTTTTTTAATTGCACTTTGTGTATCTGACAGCTGTAATTTCAATCCTATTCTAGACTCAGTGTGTGGTACGTCTGTATTTTGTTTTGTTCGTTTATACCTTCCCTTTCTTCCATCATGAAGCCACCCCTGGAGCCTCTCTTATTCGGAATTCTCGTTTGAAGGATTCTCCCTCCCTCTTCTTTATTCTCCCCCTCTTTTCCTTTCATGTGCATAATATGAGGTCAGTTTAGATCACCGTGCCTTATTATTGCTTTTTAGAATCCAGTATTTAAGTATGTTTTTGGAATGACCAATCCTTGAATATTTTTTTCTTCTTTTTAAAATTATATGACTTTTAAAACATATGTTACCTGATCTTTTATAAGGTTTTTTTTTCTTAAAAAAGTGTTAGTCACTATGATACATAGAATGACGCTGTAATAAAAAGGAAAGCCGATCTTTATTTTAAACAAATATATTTGTGCTAGAATAGTAACTGGCAACTCTTTCTCCGTCAGTTCTAAAGAATCAGTTACATCACATAGGACAGAGGTAGGCAACCTTGGCTCTTTTATGACTCGTGGACTTCAACTCCCAGAATTCTGGGAGTTGAAGTCCACGAGTCATAAAAGAGCCAAGGTTGCCTACCCCTGACACAGGGGAAGGCTGCTATAAACTCTTAAGTATTTAATTTTAATTAAGTCTTACTTAAGGCATAATTTTGCCTCTTTTCATTCTTCCTGAACCTCTTCAAGTATTTTTACATGTTTTGAGCAGAGAACATTTTTAGTACTCATAAGATTTTTTTTCTCTGTGTTTATGTTTAATTTATGACCTAATGATTTTCAGCATGCATGTGGAATAACATTAGAGTATAGATATTTGCAGGTTATATATGAGTAATATTTCTTTGTTACTCTACCAATCTAGATGAGAAATATGTTATTAAAATGTTTGTGAAGCAACTAATAACTCAAATTTTATCTTGATATATGTTAAGGCCGATACATCTGTTTTCATGCATGTGGGCTAATATAACTTGATCATCCCATTATTTTTAAATGTCTACTAACTAAAGAATTTTCAATATTGCACCATCATTACCATTGCCATAATTAACAATTACATTTTGTAGTCCAGCTTGCTGCACCATATACATCAATGAAAACTATACACAAACATATATAAAAAGAAATGCTGACTTCCCAACTCAGATTGCATTTGTCTTTCTTTTAAAATGAAGCATACGGTGGAAGTGTTTGTTTCCTAATTTATCTATGAAATTTTCGGAAGTTATAATGGAACATTTAAGATCCAAATGTAAGCTCATTCTAGATTATAGCATTACAGCACTTGGTGAAAACCCACATCAATCTATTACAACTGTATAATGAATGTGTAATTCATGTGGTAAGAAGGATAGGTAAAGCAATTTCTAGAATATCTCCTAAGTGTTTATTTTCAGGTTGTAAAAGTTTAGTATAACAATTAAACAGTGATTAATTATATTCCCAAACTCTGTGAACATTGACAGAAAAGTCATTTTGCATATTATTTTTGTCATTGGTCCTAATTTATTTCTAGTGATCAAATATTTGTCATTAATGTGATGGAAGTTTTTCCCTAAATTTTTACAGATGTCAGAGTCATCAAGTAATACAAGTATTCTCTCTGTAATCGTATAAGAAAAAAAATCCATTAATGTTACCTTGGATACATAACCTGGAATGAATGTTAATTAAAGATAAAAATAGAAGTTTGGCTGGATCTGAAACTTGCTAAATAATTAAACTAGAATATAGAAATTATTTCATTATTTTCTTTACCTATCCTAAATTTGAATTCCCAGATCTGGATGCTTTATCAAAGTTCTTAGTTGAAATTGATAACATTGTAAGAAGAGGGAAACTGGAAAACATCTACAGAATTTAGTCAGACATTTTTGAGAACTAAGAGAAATGATATTCTCTTTCCTCTTTCCTTCCATTTTATTTGTGATTGGGCGTAAATTGGCCTTCAAAGAGAAGAAAGCTACAGGATAATATATAATAAATAATATAGACAGTGAAGAAAATTGTATTTTAGCACAAGTCTGCACATATAAACTGAAAATACTATTTGTAGCATTCAACACAATTAATTTCAAGGTAAATGTGAACAAGTTTGTGACCTGGTTAATATTGCTTTTGTCTAATTTAAAAACTAAGTCTAAAGAAAACAGTAAAAAATGAATATAAGCTTATTTAATGATCCCATAATAAACCAGCTAATAACTGGAATGCTTCTTTCATTCAATGTCCACTATTTTATAACAGATTAATTATACTTATGATAAAGTGCTTCTGATTTTAAGGAAAATCAGTAGCAGCATCTGCATTGGCAGATTGATCCATGTTGATTCGGATTAATTTATAATGACAAAGTAGAACAAGGCTGGCATTGAAAAACTCATCAAGTAGCTCTATGAATTGGTTTCTAATAACATACTGTTCTAATAGCTTACTGTTTACCCGGAGTATCTTTATTTAGAAGTCAGGCACTATTTGAATAACTTAAAATTACTTACATTGATGCTGTTAATATCCAAAATGAATCATACTTCATTTCTTCTACATGCAGATTTAATTCTAATTATGGTTATGGAATGTACAAAGGTTTTTTTTATTGAAATTTACAAATGAAATTCATATTCATTGTCATTATTACTCTTGGGTAATATTATTATGCAGACTGGAGATGATTGGATATTAATTGTTTAAAGTATTTTAGAGCAGGCCCACATTTAATAGGCAACATTCTTTAATGTTTTTTTCCCAAGAAAATTCCAAATTGAATACAAAGGGAACATCAGTATCAGAGGGTTTAGTTCTCATTTTTATGCTTATTGATGACTAGTGTTTTTTCATATAGAAATGACTTATATCTCATTATGTTTCCAGGGATTATAATGTTCTTTTTTTCTCATTTTTTTCAAACCCCTGTTTATATGTGTGTATTTTTTTCCTCTGCCTAGACCTGGTTAACCATTTCTGTGAACAGGTCCTCAATTTTTTACTTTGTCCCTACTTTCCTGTCGTAGCCCCATCTTCCCCTGGTGTCGACTCCGTACCCTTACAGCGCACAGGCAGTCAACTCGCCACACAGAATGCATCAGCGACCTTCCAGAGGGCCAGCTATGCTGCCGCCCCTGCCTCCAATTACGCAGATCCCTACCGACAGCTGCAGTATTGTCCTTCTGTTGAATCACCATACAGCAAATCTGGACCAGCCATCCCACCTGAGGGAACCTTGGCTAGGTCACCTTCTATTGATAGCATTCAGAAAGATCCCAGGTGGGTGAAACTTTTATTTTTTCTATTATTAATTCATAAAGAGATTTATAGCTGCAACCATGGGTGTCAAGGTGATAGATTATTGCATAAACAAATAACCCAATTCCATATTTTTAATGTAGTTCTATTTCATAAACTGAACCAATTGGCCAGCAAGACTATTACAAAAATGGAGTTTTATTAGCTTTTTTAAATCTATTTGCATTTTAAACAACAAAAATAAGAAAATGGCACACATAAATGCATATTATAGTGTCCTTCTGTTCTGTTTTCATGAAACTTCCTCTACAAATGTCTTGTATGTAATTGATATATATATTAGTGTTTTTAATTACTTTCCTGTTAGTAAAGATTGTTTTTGGTAAAGTATTTTTAAAATGCCACTCGATTTCCTAAGCTAGGAAGCTGGTATTAAATGTTTCCAAGAATATTTTCATATGAATTTTGATTTCAATATAAAATGGAATCAAGCAGGAGTTACTAAAATACACAAACAAACTTAATTAAAATATGCAACTAATTTTTACAAGACTTCCGTTGCCAAGTACTGTGATTTTTATGGCATTTAAACAGGACAGACACAAATGCAAAGTGTATCCAGACTCTATATTAGGCTGGGAGTTTTAAGCCTGTTAGGCTTTTGCCTGTTTTTAAAAATCATTTTATACTTAATGAATTCTTTGGGTTTTTTTCTTGTTTCTGTTATATTTTCTTTAACTGCTTTCTATTTCATTTTTTCCTAACAATTAAAATATTTTAGTCAATTATTTTGTAAGTATGAATAAGATAACATCTATAAAACATATAGAAATACTTGCTCAGATAAGTACCTGGTTTTTTTAACGAACGATTAAACTATTTAAAAACCATGTATAATAAAGGGCTCTTGTTTGTTTTTACACATGTGGTTAGAGGGGGACAGTATTTGAAAGTTGCTCAGTCTAACTAATGAAAGTTTTACATGGTCTCTTTGCTAGGACATTTTTGTTCTAAAACATATATGCGATAAAATTTAGAAGTCATTGTGTCACAAAAGTGGTTAGATTTTAAATGTTTCTTTTGAAAAATATACGGCTGTCATTGCTTAACATACCACTGTTTAGCATGTTTCTGTGTGAAAACATTTTTAGAATTACAGAATGCCTCATTTGCTGGATGGCTCCCTGTTGCATTATAATTTCAAATTTGAATCAAAGGGCAATCCATGTGCACAAATGTAGCCGATAGATGGGCCATTAGGATGGAAAGCTACAGAACCTCTTCCAAAAATTCTGGGGATTTTCCGCATCTGAACTGCCTCCTGCTTTGCAGTAGTGGCTTGATAGTTCCCTGCCATCATTACCTATATTCCAAGGGGCCTTATCTGGTGTGATGTATAAGCACGTGGATAGAGAATTCATCTGTTCCTCATGCATTGGGAAGACAGACCAATCTCACAGGAGATAAATTTTGTCAAACTTTATTCAAATGGGAAGTGTAAACTGCAAAAAAAAAATAATCAAAAGGTTTTGATATTAAAAGGCAAACTCTGCAGTGTTGGAGGAGGTGAATTACAGAGCTGTTAGATCGCAGGAAAACAACAGCTGACAAATTAAAGAAGAAAAGATCAAAAGGAAATAAAGACCATACGATGATGCTGGTTTTCTACCAGTCATAAAAAGATTGAAGTGGGAATCAAATGATTTCAGATAAAAAAAAAATCTAAATAATGTCTTCCTACTCAAACTATGGTATGAATACAGACTGAGATTAGACACACTTCACTAGCTTATACTGAGAAATAACAGCACAGTTCCTGGCTAGACACATTACCTATAGCAGTTTCTGAAGCAAAGTTCCCTCTGCTTTACTTACTTGGAGTTACTAGGGTTTTTTTTTGGGGGGGTGGATATAAGTTTTAATCCAAGGCAGTGGAAAATGAATTTAGAACATGCTTTTTACTCCAGGCTCGTTTTAGTTTCTTGGTCTCTCCAGCGGGAGGAAGTAACTGACTCTCAGAGTATGTGATAAAAAAAACACCTTTATCTTAGGATGAGTATTCTGTGTCTGGCCTAAACTGTTGTGAATGTCTGCCACTTAAGCAGCATCCAAGAACTACAGAGTAAGTGTTAAAAAAAGTTCTGAAAAATGAAAATCCAACTCTTCTGCTCTGGAAAACCTTTAACTATTTTGGCAGTGGTTTGCTCTCCAAGCTTGTTTCAATTTATTTTCTGAACGTTTCAGTATCAGACTAGGTAACATCAGCAGCAGGATTTTCTTTCCCTAAAGGAAAATAGGACAAGAAAATCCTGCTGCTGATGTTACCTAGTCTGGTAACAAAACATTCAGAAAATAAATTGAAACTAGCTTGGAGAGCAAACCACTGTCAAAATCTAAAACCTGAGCTATAGGTATTTTCTATTGTTTCAAAACCTTTAACTATGCCTAAACGTTTGCCTCTATGTAATTGCTCAATTTTTGGCCACTTGCCTTTCTTTCTCATATTTCCCAGTTATTTCCCAAGTTATGTTTTATGGGTCTATTTGAAATCCAAGGTTTTGTTTTCTAATTGTTTTGCAATAACAATTTCTGAACCTCCTATGTATCTGCATTGCGGTGGGAATTCTGATAAGTTCCTAGAAATCTTTGTTAGAAAAAGTTGAAAAATTAGGAACTCCGCTTTAGACAAGATGTAACACTGTTTCCGGCACTGTGCAACATTTATTATTATTTTTTAATGAAACCATTGACCACAGAATTCCTTTCCCACACCAGTGCCTATCACTGCCCTGACAGTTTCCTATTAAAGTGCAAGTTAGACTTTCTAGTTCTCGCAAATTATAATTGTGCTTCAAATGCTTAAAGCCAGGGATTTGGAATATGTGTCTGTGAACATGTATTAGAGTTGGACAGTACTTTCATTTCGATTACACAAAGATGATTCAGAGCACATGGGAGCAGAAGTCAAGCACTTGTCTGCAAATCTTTAAAATAGCTATTTCTTTCCCCAGGATTGCATTTAATCCCAAGAAAAGGTGTGGTTGCTTTAAAAAGTGCAAGAAGGAGCTATGTTTAGGTGCCTTTCTGGATCAGAATTGAAACACTGCACAAACCTGTCACATAAACACATACAGTACATATATTCTGTAAAGACAAGATTAGGAATTTACCAAAAATATAACTTATAGAGTTTGTGTTTGAAAGACTCAATTTATTGAGAAGGGGATTATGGCAATGCCCAATGGAATTCTGCAGAGATGTTCCCAATTGTTGGGCATACACGAAAAAGAGCATGAATGAGAAAATATCTGAAAGAGTAGATATATTCACATAAGTCATCGAGCCAGGTTAACATTAGTTACAATTGAAAGGTTTAAATGTGTTCCAGGCAACATAGCAAACCATAATCAATCACTTGAATGCTAGTTTTTCTTGGTAACCCAGTGATCTTTGCATTGGCTAGTCAGAGAAACATTTCCCAAGAATTTAGTTTTGCTGAGGTAATAATTGGGTTACAAGCGTACTCTACAGTTCTCGATCTGCAGCTACAGTCTCCTCATCCTTCCATTTAAGACTGATGTTTTTCAGGTCTTCCTGAAATGTGTGGCACCAGGTTTTCTTTGGCCTTCCTCTTTTTCTCTTTTTCCTCCAACCATCTGGTGGTATCCAATTGATTACAGTCTTTGCTGGATGTTGCTCACTCATAGCCCAATGTGGTTAGCACAGGACATAATTGATGTAGTAGTTATAACAATGTTGTCAAGCTAGCCTGATCATAGTTGGAGTCGCCAAACAAATGAGGAAAGGCAAATGATTTCCTCACTGTGTCTTAGTTCCTGCAAAGGTCAAAAACAAAGTAAGAACAACAGTTGCAGAAGTGATTTGAGTTTGTGGTTACTCTTTCACCCCGTTTTCCTGAAGGTTTAACATTATATAACAATACTAATTGTTAGCTATTAGAGCTATCAGACCTGGATTGCAGAAATGAAGACAATCATTAGATGGCAGGAGAAAATTACCATGTTCTGTATCTCTTTAACACCATCTAGCAATGTTCCAGATTTTTGCAGTTCCAATCTGTTGGCCTTGATCAATTTTCTGGATTTGTACAACATGCTAATCTGTGGTTAATAATGTTATCTTAAAACAACTAGTTAATAACCAGTTACTTATATCTAATGGCTTTTGCCGCTCAGAAACAGTATGCCAACTTTAAGCTATGGCCTGTGTTTGGATGATATGATAAAAGGACTACCAATATTTGGACTGCAAATATTAGAACAACCATTGGAAGGCAGCAAGGAGTTACAGTTTTCTGTATTCTTTGCTTTCATCTAATAGTCTTTCAAACTTTTGCAGACATAGTGATTTTGCAGATATAGTAGCCGTACTATACTAATACTTCAAAACACAACATAATCAATGGGCCTCAATTTGACATCAGTTTATTATAATTGCTTCACTTTACAGGAATACTAGATGGTGAAAAATTAAAATAAAAAAATTAAATGCAAAGTATATTTAGGCTTTATTCAACTATTATATGGCAGTAAACCTTACTGCAGTTTTGGTATTTCCTATAGAGAGTTTTACAATATAGTTGTTATGGGAATGCACCACAGGCCTTGTTTCTGACTAATGGAAATGTTCCTGTTAATATTCAGAGGCTTTCCTCCTCTGGCTCTTGCTTTGAAAGTTCCATTTCATTCCCTCTGCTGAGTTTAATTTCCTATCATGCGGAGAAGGAAAGTTACTGGCTTAGTGTCTTCAAAGACTCTATATCAATAGGCCTTCTTGTATCCCTTGCTTTGTTCTCTTTTCAAGGGGAACAATGCTTAATATCCCATATTCTTTGTGGACCATTGACATTCATATTTGCCTCACTATCTAGGAAGAACACTATGCTCTTTTCATTCATTTTTTCATCAGGAAAACCAACTGATAATGAAAAGTACTAATTAGAATCTTCTTACAAATCTTATTGTGAAAATACTGTGAGAGTAAAATATGGAGGGCAGAGT